AACTTCCCCGAGACGAGGTATCGATGAAGATTAGGGCGGAGCCCTGCTAAGAACATCTGAGCCTGGTGCTCTCCCATCTGCCACATGTCCGTGAAGTGCAGCAACTCTATAAATCTGCTCTCAAAATATGCCACTAACATGTCCCCCTGAGTCAACCGGGACAACTCATGCTCCTTCCCAGTCTGTGCTGCAGAAGAAATATACTATCCATCGAAGAAATAAACATTGTCCTCCCATGCGAGGGTCATCCGGTGCTCTGGAGTGAACTGGAGCCTATACCATCTCCTGGCGTCTCCCTTCAGACTGTAGGACGCCAATCTCTGCTTCTGGACCGAATCCACATTAAGTATATCGAGGATATTACTCACATCCTCCTTTCACTTATGGGCTGTAAGAGGATCTGCTGATCCCTGGAACTCTGGTGCTCTTATCTTCTGGGACATCTCAACTATACGGAGCCAAGCCTCCTGCTCTGTGCTCTATCTGGGACTGCTGGTGGAATAGTTGTAGGTGCGGTCTCTGGGGGTCTCTCACTGATAGGAACTGCTGGTATCCTCTGCGGCTGATCTGCTGCTGCTGGTGGTGGTGGTGGTGGTGTCGGTGGCACCTCTGCGGCTGATCTGCTGCTGCTGGTGGTGGTGGTGGTGGTGTCGGTGGCACGATATGACTCACCACAAGCTCCTCAATTGCTGCCATCTTAGCTACGAAGGGAGCCATGAGATCAATAAGGTACTGGAGAGCCTGCTGCGGCTCAGGTGGTGCCTGTTCCTACTTGAATAGAACCTGTTGTGGCTCAGGTGGAGCCTGCTGGGGCTCTGCCCGAGCAGCTCTTCAAGTGCGGGGTCTGCCACGTCCTGCCATCTGATCATAAGAAAATAAAAGTTCATGAGTCAAAGTAGACATATATACATATATAATGTATCATAATACGATTTTCACAACATATAGTATTCACGCATATACTTTAAACAAAATTAGTTGTCATAAAAAAAATTCTCAAAATTTTGAGATATACGCATATACCGTCCTCACTCATACTAGGAAATTCCTATCGTACTCTATACATGAATCCTAAGAAACTCTATCCTAGCTCCACGACTCGACACAGGAAGATCCTAAGGATACTGGAACTAAAGCTCTGATACCAACTGTGACGCCACTGGGTTCACGCAATGCTGCAGTTCAAGGTGAAACTAGAAATGTTAAACCTGTCATGCACCACACCGTGCAATAACATGTTTCACCATCACAATTACTATCTCTCTAGTGGAATCAACTACAGGTGTAGGTACAAAGCAAGTAAAAGATTATACAACAGATAAATGATGAAATGATGAACTCAAATTAATACATCTCATCAACCAAACAAGCTGGAATACATAGTCAATGTCGAAAATAAATAATAACAATCTGGAGATCTCAACATGTCTCAAGTACACAATGTCTGATAAGAAGTAAATAAGTCACACAACCTTTACAACTCTAGAATAAACTCTCATGTCTAAATAAAACAGTCTATAGTGGATCTCCAATAACACAAAAATATCTATAAAAGAAAAATAGGCGCTAATGAGTATCGTCCTCAACCTGCGACTCTCCGGGCTCCGGGCTCGTTACCTGAAAGGGGAGGGACAACGAGCGTTAAAGCGCTAGCGAGTAACATCACAACCAACCCCAAGAGAAAGGGCTCGTTGTATAAGAAAATACAGATTTATACATAGAATAATCATATCATTACTCCTAACAAATAAAAGGTTTTAGCATGTAGGAAACTACAACACGAGCGTAGGTACGTCGAGCGAAATAATCCGAACAAGGAAACCCTCATGTATATACCTTATATCTCAAATTGTAAATCCCTAAATACTGAACCCATAGTCTAATACAAGAACAATAAAGAAAAGAGACAACCTAATACAATACGTAAATCAAATGTCATGTCGGAACCACATAAGTGTCATGTCGGAACCACATAAGTGTCATGTCCAGCCTAAGTAGCTATCATGTCTCAACTTCATATAATCATGTCATGTCCTGATTCAGCTAAGTGTCATACTCGTGGTCTATTTGTGAATGTCCAACACGAGAACTTCAATGGATTATAGTCCAACACAAGGACTTCAATGGATTATAGTCCAATACGATGATTGTGTATATAAAACATGGAATGCTAATGTTAAAGATATACATATCCTATTCTTGCACGTGTCTCGATGTACAGATCTAAGCTTGTGACAAATGTGTCATCTTACATGTGTAGATGAAATCATCAATACTAAAATTTAATACCCGATAAACGAGGCGGCACCTTGTACTCAAAATGGTAAACATTACACTCGAATATATATGCACTATATATATACACAGCAGGTGGTTAAACAGAAAAAAAAAAGAAAAAAAAATCACTCGTCAGTCGACTCATGGTCGACTGGGGTCATCAGTCGACTCATCATGGTTGACTGGGATCACCAGTCGACTCATGGTCGACCGAAAGAAGAAAAATCTGAAACCCGACAGTCGACTCACAGTCGACTGAACAGAGGAGTTTTCCATGTTCGTGCATGCTGTGTTATTTTTGCGAAAATTCATCTTAAAATCAAATTTCATCAAACCCAAACAATATATTATCAATTCTAAACATATGAGACAGTGAAAATTTCGTATAAAACATGAAAAATAAAATCTTGCATGTTAGATCTAACATTTAATCCCTAAACATGTATGAGAGCAATTAATCAAAATAGACACTCGTTTTTAAATAAATTCTCAGATCTGGGTTTCATCAAAGATTCGTTGGTGAGGATTTAGAGATCTGAAACACATGATTTTTAGCATCTACACTAATAAGAACATCGATTTATACTTGAAAATAATTCTTAGGCTCAATAAACCTCATGAAAAACGTTTAGAAACTCTTAAAAACGTGGGAGAGGGATTGAGCGAGATGCTACTCACCTCTGGTGTGTTGAACAACGCCTGGATCTGTGAGAGAACGACTCCCTTTGCTGCAAACCACAACAAGCTGCTGAAATCCCCGAAAATCTCCCAAAAACGCCAAAAATCCGAAGCTAGGGTTTTAGAGGGGAAAGGGGGCTAGGGTTTCTGGGGAGAACTGATGAAAGGGTGACTTTCTTGGGTAAAAGAGATAAATACCAACAGTTAAAACCCAACCCGAAATCCCAAACAGACCCGAACTAGAAACCACAAAAAACAGCCATCAGTCGACTCAGGGTCGACCGAACCCATCAGTCGACTCGCGGTCGACCGAACATGCTACATTTCTGCCTGTGCATGATTTGCAAAATTGCAAAACTCAACCTCAAACCTGATGCATATATACATTCACATAAACTCAAAACACTAGTTATCATGCACAACCATGACATAAAGATATTTATCATAAATAAACATTATTTTTCACTAACAATCACATATATAAATTATCAAAATGTACCGGGTTTTACAGTCAGTTACCAACGAAATGAAACAGAGAATGAACCCTGCTCAAGTCCTTTATTAGAGTTCTCACTGGTTTTATAGCCAATCTCTTAGTCATACCAATATCCAGTTAGATTTAATCAATGAGTAAGTTCTGAAAGATTGTTGTAAAAAGAACCCAATTCGGAGAAATTTCAAGAGAGATTTGATCAGCAGTAATAGTATTCGGCAATTAGAATGCGTGTAAAGAAAATGTAGGTGAGTAAAGAAAGAGGAGGTCAGCTTTCGGTTTGAACAACTGCCAGCAAGTCACATTACTCCAAAAAAATCAAATCTTTCACATTAAACGAGACAAATTAGCAAGAAAGGAACCAAAATTTCCATGTTTACCATCAAGTTCTTCAACTAAACGCTAAAACATGCGGCTTAAACATAATTTAACACAAAGGTCGAAGCAAATCTCTACAGCATAAAAAAGAAATCACATCAAAATTCCAAGAGAATGAAGATCTTCGGTTTGAAGTTTTGAACCCAAAAAGCAAATCATCAGATGCAAATCGAAAAAAGTTGTAAAACTTAGATCTTGAATACTGAGACGAGACGGAGAAACACTAACCGTAGATGGAGACGGAGGGCAGTGACGGAGACGGAGTAACCGGAGACGGAGACGGAGACGGAGACGAAGGGCGGTGATAGAGGAGCGGCGGCGGCTGGATCTGAGGTTGGAGAATGGAGAGCTAGGTCTAGGGATTTCATTTTATATTAAGTGAAAAACTGAACACGGGTCGGGTATAATGGGTTATGGACTTAATGTAATGGGCGGTCGGTTTGGGCGGTTCGGGTTGAAATTTTTTCAGCTGGACCCGAACCGACTGAGCATTAAAACCGAACCGGACCGCAAAATTTCGGTCGGTTTGGTCGGTTTTTTCAGTTTGGACCGAACCGTGCTCACCCCTACTTAGAGCATCTCCAACAGCTTCCCCAAAAATTTCTCCAAAATGGGGAATCAAATGTCATATTCTCCAAATTATTTTTGCTCCAACTCCAACAGCTTCCCCATTTTGAAGAATCATGCATTTATTACAATAATAAAAATATTCTACATCTTTGACTAATAAATAATAAATTATTTATTATTTTGAAGAATCCCTATTTTGACCAAATTATTTATTATTATAATGAGGAGATGGAGTTGTTTTTTGTGGGTTGAGTCTAGAAGAACGTGAAAAAGTGCTTCCCCAAATATTTGCAGAATGCTGCAGATTTGTGGAAGGCTCTCTATTTTTTCTCTCCTATCCCCATTTTGGGGAATGGGATGAGGAATCTGTTGGACCAAAAAAAAGCTCAAAATTCTCCAAATTTTAGAATACCAAGAAGATGGGGAAGCTGTTGGAGATGCTCTTAACACTCCTTTACGTTTAATTTTGAAGGCAATAATGGTACGTATGTTTAGCGTTGTCAAGTTAATTAGTGTCAATTTTAAAACATTAGCGGAATTTTCTGTGACAAGGTTAATATTCTGTAAATTGCCCTTCGGACAATGAAAACCCCACTAAAAACCGTCGCGTTCTCAGCAGGCCTTAAACCCTTCAAAAATAGAAAGGGGGAAAAGAGAGAGCTCTGCAGCGAAATAAAATCAAAATCGAAGTGGCATCGTCTCGATTTAGGGTTCCGAAATTCTATGATCCCATCGGCTCGACATCGATCTCTTTCGTCGTCGATGCAGTCGGCTGCGAGAAGAATCTCCTTGATTTCTCGCTCCAAAAGAGGTACGTCTCAACTAAAACGAATCGTTGCCTATCTTTTTCGCTCATTTTTATTTTTTATTTTGGTAGGTTTTGTTGAGAGATCTTATGCGGTGCTTGGAACGAAGAGATGTTTTGTGGCTTCAGTTCCTTCTGAATCGTTCGGAGAGGAGAAGAGGAGGGGTAGGGTGTCGAGGCAAGAACGGCGGCGAATGCTTGAAGATTTTGTTGAGAGGTAATGCTATTTCTTTGAATCTGATGTGTCACTGTTCGCACCCTAGGAATGTTGAAGATGTACTGAGATCTATGTTATTCAATTTGTTAAAGTTTTTAAAGGTATCTAATGGAGGGGAAAGGCTGCTTGGTAAATTCTAGTTACTGCAAACAGACTGATTAAACAGACTGATTAAATAGCTTCAATGTGTATACTAGAAAGTTCGCACCTTTCAGGACTTCCATCATTTTGGAGCTCTGAAAAGAGTTGTTTGGTAATGCTAGTTACTGCAAATAGAGTGATTGAACAGCTCCAATCGATCACTCTTTAAAGGAATCTAATCGGGGAAAAGAGTCGTTTGGTAATGCTAGTTACTGCAAATGGAGTGATTGAACAGCTCCAATCGATATCTCCGTGTTGTTTATGTTAGAAAGTTTGGGACACTGAAAGTATTAAAGTGTGACCTGTAGCCTTGTTGGATCATGGCATGGAAAATGATTAAATAAAATAGTAACAATGTTTTAAAAAGCATGTGCCTAGCCCGCCTAGATGCCTGCTTAGGCCTAGGCAGTACCTAGGTCGCTCGCCTAGGTCTTGGGAGCGACTAAGGGAGTGTGATCCGCTTATGTGGACTGCACTACTTAGGTCTTGGCTGTGATTTCCTCCGCTACAGCCTCCATGACTATCAACCTCCTTCCAACTCCTTTGGTCTCCTCTACTAACTATGAACACCTCCTCCACCACCGTTTAAACAAAGAAAGAAGTCTGCCTAGGTGCTAGGAGCTAGTTTGGTGGTCAGCTGTGTCTAATGTTTTCTATAATATTGATATTTATTATTAATTATTGTAACTAAAAATAAAAAATAGGAAAACACCTAGGTTACCGCCTATACGCTTAGGCTCCTGGCGCTAGGTCCAGTGCCTAGGTCGTCAGCGCTTTCTGTAACATTGCATAGGAACATCACTGCTATGGTGATGACACTATGGGACCCTATATATTGAGAAGAAACTCATCTCTTGGTGGAAAACCCTTTGGCAAAAACCATCATCTCTTTGATGATTTGCCCTATTTCTTTCCTTGATCTAGGTATTCAACTTATAGTTATTCTAGTTAATTCTCTTGTCCCTCTTCCTCCTTGCATAAGAGGTCATCTTTCTCCAAAGAATTGATTGACTAGGTTGCATTTTGTGGGCGTTAAAAAATCATAAATTCCTAATCATCATAGGAGATATGCTTAAATAATGTCTGTTGAATTCTGTTGATATCTCTTTTATTATCAGTGATATTCATAATCAAATTGAACCACTATAAGCTTCGAAGGCTTGCTACTAATCAGGAAAACCTACAAATACTAATAGTATATCCTCGAGAAACTTCTAAGAAATCATGAGCAATTTTCTATAGGTTTTTTGTTGCCCTAGCTAATGGTCTACCTTGTCCATGTTTGAATTTGATTTTAATGCTACACATGTTTGAGCAATAGGCAAGATTGAAATATATTATTCTTCTAAATAAACTTTGAAGCCTATTTAGGAAAATAGGTTTTCTAGATGTATGATGTCTAGATATCTCGATCTTATATGCAAACTTATAGTAGCAACCACATCAAAGAATATCTAGATCTTATGATGCCTGGGTATTGGGAGTGCCTAAGGGAGCATGGACCGCTTATACTGATTGCACCATTTAGGTCTTAATTGTGATCTCCTCCACCGCAACCTTCATGTATTCCAACCTCATCCAAACTCCTCCGGCCTCTCCCTCAACTATTAACACCTTCTCCACATCTTCTGACCTTCTCCGGACCTCCTAGGTGGTGCCTAGCAATTTCAATGACATTGCGTTTGTTATCAGTTATTGTAGCTAAAAATAAAAAAAGAAAAACTGCCTAGGCTCTAGGTGCTTGGTTCGGCACCTAAGCCGCATAATGATTTCTATAACCTTGATATTATGTTATGAGTCTATGACCCATATGCATGCATCAACTCTATTGCACTGTGATTTTATTTGATATGTCCTTTGCACTATGTAAAAAGTCAGTTTTATGGAATTCAATATCATCAACAAACAACCTGGCCTGTTAGTTTTTTTCGCTAAGGCCAATCGATAATAACACATTAACATTCTTGATATATGCGGTGATAGAATTTGCATTTATTTCTATCCAAGTATTATCACGCTATCTATTCTTTATTCTATTTTTAATCACATCGATGATTTTTTTTATCAGAATGCTATATAGAGGTAGGGCTTTATACACATTATGCTCCCTACAATCTGCAATGACGAAGCCTCATGCCTACCCTTTCGTACACCTATTTCTTCATTGTTGATGAAAACCTGTTATATAACTCGTTATGTTGCATTATGTAACCTAACAAGCCTTAAATGTTACGTAACCTTATGAAATAACTCAAACACATCATAATTCTACATTATTACAAATTAATATGCGTTATTTCCATATAACTTGCATTGTTTCAATATAACATGCATTGTTTTAGTATAACTTACACTATTTCAATATGAGACCTAAAGACTTGAGAGTATATTCTTTCTTTAAATTTGAATTAGTTAAGTAATTACTTTTGAATTCTTTGTTAAGCCTTCATGTCTTGTTTTGGTGATATAATTATGTGATTATGAAATTATGAATATGACTAATAAAATGAATGTAATTATGAACGAGTTATAAATTTGTGATTATATACTTGAGTATTCGATTGAATACTTCCTAGTAAATCTATATAGCTTGTATTAAATTAAAGATTTTTATTAAAATATTTTTGCATTTATAGTATTTTGTTCCTAATTCTTAAAAATATTATTAAAATCTTTTATTATTTTTTAGAATTAAACAGCAAGAAAATATTTTGTTCCTAATTGTGATGTTATGTTTAAAATTTTTGATGATTCTAATTATTAAAGTCATTATGAATAGTTTGAATTTATAAAATATGCAAATAGTTAATAAACAAAATAACCTACATTATCTATTACATTGTTTTTGCCTTTTTTCCTTTAACCCTTAACCAGAGCTAAAGTGTTATAATATGCGTGATCGTTATTTTCAACATTTTCTTCCTGAATCAATTGCATAATTTCTTAAATCATATCATACACCAAACGTTCCTCTTTTCTTCTCTCTAGATTATTCCTTCATCATTTTCGATTTTGGATCTTTCTTGCATATGATTCGTGGAGGCAACATTTCTCTCTTAGTCTCTGCTCAATCACTCCCTGCTAAATTGGCTTCAAAATAGCAGTCTATACAACTTTGTTTTTATCCCTTTGCTTCAGTTTCTCTGGTGTATAATTTTCATGGTATAATATAGCTGCTTCAATAATTTAATCTAAATTATGGTGAGTAGAGAGCCACTTGAATTACCTTGCAGGTCACATTTTTCTACATGAGCTTCTGATAAAGAGCAACATCACTGTAGAAAGAAAAACATGCATTTATGCAACCCATTGAAAGGTATGTTGTCATACTAATTGCTTACATGTCTTATTTTTTTGGAATCATATGCAGATTTAGGGCTTTAAATGCTGGGAAGTTTCCTACTGTATCCCATGCTAAAAAGCAAGTAGGAGGGTCCTTTTATGTTGTAAGGGAGATCATTCAAGAAATAGAATACAATCATAGGACATCCCCTAAAAAGCTAGAAAAACCTGCAGGATGGGCAAAAAAAGATGTGAATGCTAATACAGTTGAAAGTTTGGTTATAAAAGATGGCTTAGAAGTTGGACCTGTACAATTGCCTCTTCTTTCTACCAATACTGAGAATGCCTTTATAGAAGAGTCCTCCAGTCATTCAACTACAGAAGTAGTCCATTCAAATGAGAAAATTATTGAAGGCAATGAAGATTCTCGAATTAGCAAGCTGATATCATCTGATGATCATTTTCTTATTGAAGACCAAGAGAAGGATTCCCCTTCAAGATTTGTCGAACGCGATGCTTCTGATGCTGTCCCACATCAGGTGATTGATATTGAATCACCCAAGAAGGACTCCCCTTTAAGACTTGCTAATGATAATGGCAAAGATAATGTTGAAGATCCTACCAAATTTCAGGTAATAAACTAACTGTCCTCGTATACCTCAGATGGTGACTTATTTCAGCATTTTAGTTTGTTATCCAAGAAATAACAGTCCTTTTGTCAGTGCAACAGATGGCTTTACATTGATGTTGTTATTAGGATTCTGTTTAGTCATGCTTCAACATTTTTTTCATGTTCTCTTTACATCTATATTTACCAATCATGGCCGCAATATGCAGGCCGATACTTCAGTGCATCTGAAATTGGAGACAGAAATAGACGCTTTAAATACTTCAAAAAGTATAGAAGACAAAAGCTCACCTGCATCTGCTCAGGAAGAAAGTGATCTAAGAAGCAATGAAGAAGTGTCTAAATCTGATTACCTTACTGGGTAAAGTTTTTGACCTTTAAATTTATATGCAGTAAAATCACATGGTTGGTTTTGTTATATCCACCTATTCCTTTATTCTTGGTTGACTCTTCATCAGCATTGTATTGACTTTGGTTATCTATCCACAAACTGCATAATTCGAAGTGGCTACCACTTACTGAATGTCTCAAAAAAACAGATACTTGCATTTTCTTGTGACATCTGTAATTCTCCAGTGCATATGGCTTAACATCTTGCACTGTGACTGAGCCAAAATAACAATTGGACTCCTGCCAATACTACAAAATTTCTTTACTGACCTAGTCGAGAATAGGTACTTTTTTTAATTACCCCAGGCATAGCAGAAGCTATGTGGACTGGAGTTTTCTTGCCTCATAATTCTTACTTTTTCTTCGGTACACATTCATAATATGTTCATTTTTAGGCGTATCTCATCCTTCTCCTGTAGTAGCTTCAATTATGCTTACAATTTTTTTTTTTTTTTTTATTTTTTTCTTTCAAATTGCTGGCTGAAACGTGGATGCATATATTCCTTACGTGTATCTCTGGCTTTTATCCGTCTTTTTTTTCATGTTTAGTGCCTAAATTGGACAGGATCCTTATTCTCTGTCAATCTTGACACCACATGCAATTCTGCTTTTCTCCCTTATCTAGTGACAGTTCAAGAACGGTCAAGGACGATTCAGTTTCACCAAAAGGATCAAGCATTTGGCGCAACCTGAGATCTCTGGCAGATGGGATCCTTAACTTGTGGAGGAAAAAGTAAATACATCTCTTATGGCTTGCTGTTGGGTACTATCACTTGAGTTACCCAAGTTCATGCTTGTGTTCAGCTAGCCTGTGAATTTGGACTTGCTGATGCTGGTATGTGTACTTTCTTTTTTGTAAATTCTAACCTTTTCAAACTAAAAAAAAGTTAAACGTTCAATCATGATTTCAGTATACCAAGTGCTTCGAGTGTTTTCTTTTTCCTTTTGATACATACATATCCTGAGTTGAATTTTTATATTTCCTTGGATGGTAACCTAAGAATTAGATAGTAAATAGAGTTTGCATGAAAATATGAAATTGTTGTTTGTAAGCATATTTCAAAAGTATCCCCCCCCCCCCCCACGCACCACCTTTTATTGCCAATTTATACATAAACTACCTTTAAATGATTTTTTCCCCTTTCTTTTTAACCACTTGGACTCACTTTTCAGTTAAGTTTTTTTTCTTCCGATTTTGCTATAATGATTGGTTGTCAAATACCAAGTATATTAGAGAGATGATCCTTAATGGAGGTTAGGTGGGGTCAATTAACGATTAACTTAACTGAAAATAACCTAGGTGGTTGATTACAAGAGAAACCCTTTAAATGATGATATGAATGATATATTATGTGGAACGTCATCACCATCGTTTATGCCTTCCCCATGAGGATGGCGGATTGGATGTGCAACACAAGGCTTCATGAAATGAGTTGTGAAATTTCAACTACCAAGTGCCAACCTGATACAGCCCTGAGTAGTTTCCAAGTTCCTGGTTAGCAAAATCATGGCGAGACAGAACCCAGGCATCACTCCTAAGTGCAACTGCTGCACGTTGGAACTTAATCAGTTTGCTAGTCTGTTTAGAGGGGGAAGAGGAAAAAAAATCTGACATAACATTGTGTTAAGACAACTTATGATGCCAAAGCACCAACTAGAAAGCCTTTACGTTGTAATTATGAATAAATAGATTTTTGGCTCATGCTTTGCAGAAGGATACCTTTTAGAATACTGAATGGTGAATACATGCTATAAACTTTTTGTATCATTTTTTTTAATAAATGTTAGATTGGAAGATTTTTTTTTGTGTGTAAGAAACAATGACCTCTTACAGATAAAAATAAAATAAAATAGAATAAAACCTATGGCAATTTCCCATTCTGTATGGTCCTCTCACTATCTTCCAAATCAACACATTTAAACAATGTTAAAGACACTTGGTAATTTGATAAATTTGCAGTATCTTCTGTAAGCCATAAAACAAAGTGAATCCACAAAGCAACTCAAATGTGACCTCCTCATAAGGAAATACTCAGTGTAGGATGATTACTATGATCTTACATACTAATGTTGAACAAATCAACTTGAACAGTGCCTACATTGCTTAGCTTTTTAAAAGGACAAGTGATCATCATGTGTTATGTGATGTGAATATTTAAAGAACTTATTAGTTATTAATGATCAATGTTTTCAAAAGCCTCCGCCTAGGCCACCTAGGCGTACGCCTAGGCCTAGGCGGTACCTAGGCCGCCCGCCTAGCACCTAGCACCTAGGTAGTAACTAGGTTGCCCACCTAGATTTCGGGAGCACGTAGGGGACGTGGACTGCTTACATGGACTGTACCCTTTAGGTCTTGATGGTGAATTCCTTCATTGTAGCTTCCACGTTTCGCGACCTGATGAACACCTCCTCTACCTCCACTGATCTTCAACAAAACATCCACCACCACCACTCAATTACGTGTATCTCTGGCTTTTATCCGTCTTTTTTTTCATGTTTAGTGCCTAAATTGGACAGGATCCTTATTCTCTGTCAATCTTGACACCACATGCAATTCTGCTTTTCTCCCTTATCTAGTGACAGTTCAAGAACGGTCAAGGACGATTCAGTTTCACCAAAAGGATCAAGCATTTGGCGCAACCTGAGATCTCTGGCAGATGGGATCCTTAACTTGTGGAGGAAAAAGTAAATACATCTCTTATGGCTTGCTGTTGGGTACTATCACTTGAGTTACCCAAGTTCATGCTTGTGTTCAGCTAGCCTGTGAATTTGGACTTGCTGATGCTGGTATGTGTACTTTCTTTTTTGTAAATTCTAACCTTTTCAAACTAAAAAAAAGTTAAACGTTCAATCATGATTTCAGTATACCAAGTGCTTCGAGTGTTTTCTTTTTCCTTTTGATACATACATATCCTGAGTTGAATTTTTATATTTCCTTGGATGGTAACCTAAGAATTAGATAGTAAATAGAGTTTGCATGAAAATATGAAATTGTTGTTTGTAAGCATATTTCAAAAGTATCCCCCCCCCCCCCCACACCACCCAGCCACACACCCACACACAAAAAAAAAAAACAAAAACTAACATTAAAATAAGGTCATTCTACAGAAACACCTTTTATTGCCAATTTATACATAAACTACCTTTAAATGATTTTTTCCCCTTTCTTTTTAACCACTTGGACTCACTTTTCAGTTAAGTTTTTTTTCTTCCGATTTTGCTATAATGATTGGTTGTCAAATACCAAGTATATTAGAGAGATGATCCTTAATGGAGGTTAGGTGGGGTCAATTAACGATTAACTTAACTGAAAATAACCTAGGTGGTTGATTACAAGAGAAACCCTTTAAATGATGATATGAATGATATATTATGTGGAACGTCATCACCATCGTTTATGCCTTCCCCATGAGGATGGCGGATTGGATGTGCAACACAAGGCTTCATGAAATGAGTTGTGAAATTTCAACTACCAAGTGCCAACCTGATACAGCCCTGAGTAGTTTCCAAGTTCCTGGTTAGCAAAATCATGGCGAGACAGAACCCAGGCATCACTCCTAAGTGCAACTGCTGCACGTTGGAACTTAATCAGTTTGCTAGTCTGTTTAGAGGGGGAAGAGGAAAAAAAATCTGACATAACATTGTGTTAAGACAACTTATGATGCCAAAGCACCAACTAGAAAGCCTTTACGTTGTAATTATGAATAAATAGATTTTTGGCTCATGCTTTGCAGAAGGATACCTTTTAGAATACTGAATGGTGAATACATGCTATAAACTTTTTGTATCATTTTTTTTAATAAATGTTAGATTGGAAGATTTTTTTTTGTGTGTAAGAAACAATGACCTCTTACAGATAAAAATAAAATAAAATAGAATAAAACCTATGGCAATTTCCCATTCTGTATGGTCCTCTCACTATCTTCCAAATCAACACATTTAAACAATGTTAAAGACACTTGGTAATTTGATAAATTTGCAGTATCTTCTGTAAGCCATAAAACAAAGTGAATCCACAAAGCAACTCAAATGTGACCTCCTCATAAGGAAATACTCAGTGTAGGATGATTACTATGATCTTACATACTAATGTTGAACAAATCAACTTGAACAGTGCCTACATTGCTTAGCTTTTTAAAAGGACAAGTGATCATCATGTGTTATGTGATGTGAATATTTAAAGAACTTATTAGTTATTAATGATCAATGTTTTCAAAAGCCTCCGCCTAGGCCACCTAGGCGTACGCCTAGGCCTAGGCGGTACCTAGGCCGCCCGCCTAGCACCTAGCACCTAGGTAGTAACTAGGTTGCCCACCTAGATTTCGGGAGCACGTAGGGGACGTGGACTGCTTACATGGACTGTACCCTTTAGGTCTTGATGGTGAATTCCTTCATTGTAGCTTCCACGTTTCGCGACCTGATGAACACCTCCTCTACCTCCACTGATCTTCAACAAAACATCCACCACCACCACTCAAACGAAGAAAGAAATCCGTCTAGGGGCCAATCTGACGCTTAAGCCTTCTATAACATTGACATTTATTATCTATTATTATAATTAGACAATAAAATAAAGGAAACAGCCTAGGCCCCACCGATGCTCCCACTAGGTGTCCAGGCTCTAGGCGTCTAGGCACCGAGTGCGTAGGCCACCTACTACTTTCCGTAACCTTGTTGTTGATTCATCTACATATAAGACTCTTGTAAGAAATACAATAATGATCATGAAATGGGCTATTATAGTTTATAAGACGTAAATACGAATTCTTGACATTTTAACATGCAGTAACAGTATGTCGGTAAAAGTTGGCCTGTTCAAAAATTTTACTTCAATATTGTGGCAAAATTTCATATTTGAGCAGAAGAACTGCAATACCCTCTAAAACAAGTTATATAAGCTCATGCTTTCCTTTATGTTAAAGAAAGTTATCCATCTCTATGCAGGCATCAGTTTGCTGTTTCGTTCTTCACAGTGATGAACTAAAATGAAAGAAAAAAAAAGATTACATTTAGTTCATACCAGGTATTGTTTTATTAGGATAGTATATAATTGATTTGACAAAAAATCGAGTACAAATTAAGGAAAACCCTCCTGCAAAAGCTGGTCATAAAATCTAATAGCACCTTCAAAATTTCCACGATTCGTAGTTAACTTTATATGGTGTGGATGCAGGCATTTCTTCCTGGCGGTCAAAATGTGGGGATTTTCAAGTTTGGTGGCACTTTCCTTTTGAGAATAATTCTTTTTCGCAGCCTTTTTGATCTTGTACAAGGAGATTCAGTGTAAATAGAACATGCTGATTATTTGGCATGGTGAAGATAATACCCATAAGTGGGACTCCTTTGAATATCATTATGCCCCGACAAGGGGCATGTTAAGCAGATTGAAACAGTCGCCAGAAACTATTGTATCATCAGAAGGCTTATAATCCCCCCCTAGCTTTTAGCATCTAACTTGTCATTTTGATTGGGCTTCAGTCGCAAGTAGAAATCTGAATGTCCGAGTTTGTCCTAAATTTGCGATAATTTATGTTCATCTTGAGTACATGTTCTCTTTGTTACTCTTCCAGCTGGGTGGTTTTGTTTTTCCCTTTTCCCCTCCTGAATTTAGTTTCAATTGTAATTTACGTTGTAGTTCCTAGTTGATTGCTGAGGAAATTACTATGCCCCTCTCTGTTCTGAGATCAAACTTCACTCTGTGCATGCTACATTTTTGTGAAAAATAAATAGACTCGAAGAACTTTTATTGTCGGTAGCCTTGGCTCGTGTGACGGTCCTTGAATGCGCTAGGGAAGAAGAGAGGAATAACGTAGAGATGGGAGAACCGTGCAGGTCGATCACAGAGAACGAGATCTGAAAGCTGGCCACGCTTAGAATTTTAATGAAGAATGTGCGGCGAAGGACAAAACCATGGTTCTACGAGCCTTTAATACTTTATTTTTTCTGGATCATAGTCTCTATGTAATCAAACTATAACCACTGTTACAGGTGCAAATCTCCATGTTTAATTAACTTTCCTTCAACTACATTTTCTACTCCAATATATCTATTACTATATGCTACTAAATGGTCGCAGAAATGTGACGAGTGACAATTGTCTTGGTCTTTATTTTTTTTTGAAAATTCTTTCCTACTATTAAAATCGTTTTTTCAAGCTTTCTTAGGTCATGGTAATTATATCTACATCGCTTATATCAAAATTTGCCGACTGTTCTCTTAATATACACCCTTGACCCCCCCTCTCTCTCTCTCTCTCTCTCTCTCTCTCTCTCTCTCTCTCTCCAATTCTCGTGATTGCACGAGTAACACCGTTAAGAGGATTTGGATCATCTCCACTACAAAAAAGTAGTAGGGAGACTACTACTTTTAATCTTAATTGTTGATTACTTAGTAGTCGGTTATGATATAATCTAAATCTAATACTCACCATACCTTCGTGTATTGCACTCATTCCTGATTTGTACTCAAAAAAAAAAAAAAAAAAAAAAAAAACACCATACCTTCGTGTATTGCACTCATTCCTGATTTGTACTCAAAAAAAAAAAAAAAAAAAAAAAAAAAAAAAAAAAAAAAACACAAGCACCAATTAGATAATCAATGGTTGTGATTATGTAGTGGTCCCTCTACTACTTTTTAGATAGTGAAGAGGATCCGAATCCCCGTTAAGAGGTGCAAATCTCCATGGTCAATCTTCTTTTAACCATGATCACAAGTTTCAGAGAAGGTTGTGCAAGCCTGATCTCTCTGATTGGTCCAGGGTCACATCCACATGTCTTCATTAACTAAACTCACGTACCAAGAATTTCGATCAGCAACCCAAGTCCCTAAGCACCGACTAGTACATTCACTCCTCCCTTCAGCTCCCACCTCGGATCTTGCACCTTAGTATCTCCTTTAGTCCAAGATATCCTCGCTACAGCCACCCAAATCCCCTATAAATCGACCCTCAACTCATCGAACTTTAGAGAGCTAGCACACAAACACGATGAGCGCTCAGCCTCTGCTCTTCTCGGTTCTTGTTCTTATCGCATCCTCGGCGTTGAGCATTAATGCTCAAGGTGGCTACGACGAACCGACGCCGGGGGCCCCACCGCCGCCCTTTGCGGTGAAGGGGAAGGAGTTCCCGCCGGAGACGACCTTCTGCATAGACCCTAACACTACTTGCTTCGGCAAGACCGTGTCGTGTCCTAAGCAATGTCCTCAGTTCAAGCCGGCTGATCCTAAGGCCAAGGGTTGCTATATCGACTGTAATAATCCTACTTGCGAAGGCATCTGCAAAAGTAAGAGACATTCATACGCCTATTGTACTGATTCAAAAAAATAATGATAGGGGCACACCATCTACCACATTCCTAACCACATCATCTCTCTTGCTACAGTGCACAATGCCCAATTAAGATTTTAAAATCTTAAGTGGGCCCTGTTTACTGTAGCAAGAGAGATGATATGGTTGGGAGTGTGGTAGAGGGTGTGCCAACAGTGCCTCTCGATTCAAAAATAGATATATTTTTTTATTTTAACACGACAACATACACGGTTCATAATTCTCATTTCGGACTGATCTAGGAATAGTCGGGTCCTTCTTGAGCATCTTTCCAACTGTCTGCCGACTTGACATCAGTGAAAGATCATTTAAAAAAAAGGTTGTTCTACAGGAACCCAAATCCATGGGACCAGGAGGGGACAGGTGAGGTGTCACCTCCTGGTTGCATGATCTACTGTTCATGAACAGTAGATCATGCAACCAGGAGGTGACAGCTCACCTGTCCCCTCTTGATCCCATGGATTTGGGGTCCCCATGGAATTTTTCTTAAAAAAACATAATCATTCGATGATACCTACGATATCTAAATGGTTATGATTTATTTCAAATATAACTATAACACCAAACACAAATTTATCATTTTTTTTTACTTTTCATTCAAAGTATATATAGTACAACTGTCGATCCATTAAATCGCATGCAGACCGAAAACCAAACTGCGAGGGCAATGGGGCCGCCTGCTACGATCCCCGCTTCATCGGTGGTGATGGCGTGATGTTCTACTTCCACGCAAAGCCAACCGCACCTTCGCCCCTGCTCTCGACTCCGACCTCCAATCAACGCCCGCTTCATAGGACCTCGCCCAGCGGCCCGCGCGCGCGACTTACCTGGATCCGAATCCCTCCCCTCCTCTTCGGGACCACTCCTTCACCGTCTGCTTGCGACCCCACCTCCGTCTGGGACCCGCGTTCTGACCGCTCTCTTTCACCTTGACAGTCTTCCCCCGTCCCTCTGGGATCGTCGGCTACCGTGCCACCTGCGTCAGCTGATGGCCTGTCTGATTAGAGCGGTACCGCCACCGGTTAACAGCGCTACGTTTACTCTAATCGAAAGTTGTCGAGTCTATGGTGACGGCCGGGTTCCGTGACTGCGGAGGATGACCGGATCATGGTAGCGGAATCCCGGAGGGAGACTCTTTCGCCCACCTCGAGGTGCAATTTAGATTCTTCGGGTTATCCCGAAATGTCGAGGGGGTTCTAGGGCAAACTTACCGTCCGGACTTCAAGAATCCGGTGAAGAGGGGTGTGCCGATGCCGGTCATGAGCGGGGAAGACCGCTACGTTGTGGATTCAATACTGTCGACGGAGTGCAGGTATTGTATATTCAAGCCCAAGGCGGGGCCGCCCGGAGGTGCCGAGGAGGTCGGAGAGTCGCGAGCTTGGACTGTGGCCGGAAGATGAGCAATGGGTACAGGGTTGTTTGTAGGAGGTGATTTGATTGTGGGGATGTTCAAACTGTCATCCGTTGGGAGAGAGGAATAAATAAATGTTTGTAGCAGGCATCTTCGTCGGGGATGTTTGTTTTCCGTTGGGGATGTCTTGTTTTTTTTTTCTGTTGGAAAATAAAAAAAAGTGGGCCGGGTTGCGTAGTAGGGAGATTTACATCGATGTTACGTTATATGACTAAAATAAAGTTCATTTGAGTTCGAGAAGTCTTTAGAGAGTGGAGTGTTAGTTTCTGTTGTAATAGGGCTTGTTTGTCGCTATGAATTAAATAAAGTTTAGTTTATGATGTATTTTTGATTTAAATGTACGTGTATGATGCATTGATGTAAATTTGTGGTTAATAAAAAGAGTTGGGCTACCACTTACGATTTGCCCAGTTGGTTCGAATGTATCAACATGCACCCGGAGTTGCCTGAGTTCGATTCCTAAGTCCAAAGAGAAGCACAGTGTCTGAGTGAAGTGCTCTAAGATGTGAATTAGGGTTATGACCACTCTCGCTGTAACTCCCTTAACCAAGGTTCATTATCACTTGAAAAAGGAGGATTGACCTTTTACAATATAATAATTGAATTTTATTCATATTCATATTTTGTCCACCTAGATAATTATCAAGATACATTGTGAGCATAAGTTCATAGGAGTTTTTTTTTTTTTGAAAAATACCTTGTTTGCTAAATAATTAGCAAAACCGACCGTTTTGCTAATTATTTAGCAAAAAAGACATCTTTTTGACCAACAAACCAAAAATAGGTCGGTTTTGAAAAATCGGCTATTCGAAACAAGGACCGCCGGCTAATAATCATATCACAAAATCTATGGGACTACTAGTCCGGTAGGTTTTGTTGCTTAAGCAACAAG